AAAAGAGCTGCCAAGCGCAGTGGGCAAGGTACAGCAACCGCTTCCAACTGGAAAACCGCCTATGACAACCTCAGAAGGGTCAGAGCACGCGCAGTGAGCCAAAAGGTGTGCTATTGTTGTGGTTCAAACCAACATCACCTGGCTATTTGTCCCAACACTGAGAAGAAGGACGAGTTGATGAACTCATTCTCTCACATGGAGGACACTATGCGCAAGTGCTTCACCGAGGACGACAAGGCAATCATCCGACGTGATGTTGAAAGCCGAAAGAGGAAAGCAAAGTCATCCAAAGACGTCGAAGACGAGGACTACATGGATGTGGATGATGAAGATATTGAACTTCCCGAAGAAGAGCCGGAACTAGGAGGTAAGGTACCACCTCACTCTCCGAGAGCCAAAGGTAGACCACACTCGTCAGACTCTGCAAAAGAGGAATACGCGAAAGCGGTCGAGGCAACCAAGAAGGCCTTTGGGAACGCCAGTTTCGTCACCAGATTCAAAGAGCCCGTCGACCTCTTTGACATTGCCGATGACAAAGAAGGAGGAGAGTACAGGGTCGCAAATCACAGGGTTGATAGATCAGGTCCTAATGGAAAGTGGGAACTTGATGCACTTATTCAGGAGGCTGCAGCACTCGGAATAAAGATGCCCAAAGTGAAGGACCTTGCTCCTGACCCACAACAAGTTCAAAAGGTTGGATATCGGCAGATTGAGGTGACTTGCGATAGAGGAAGCATCGAGATAATTCCACAGTATGGAGTTACATTCTATGTGGAGTACTGGAATGGACCGAAGAGAGATGCAACTTTCACGGATCCACCAAAGATGAACCCAGCAACTCGCATCGACAAGTTCAGCGAGGAGAGTCAGCGGGTCAACGAGGTTAGCCATAGACTCAATAGACTACTCAGGCATGGAGTGGGAAAGCATAATGGGATTCAATCGCACCGCGGTCGAAAACCTCATGTGTCCCCGAAGTGCAATGAGGGTGGATGGGTGAACATCGATGAGATCCTGGAATATGACCATGTCTTCAACGATGGTGTCGATATCAGTACTATCTCAGATGATCAACGTGAGCAAAATGTCAAGACAGAGCGATACCAGGATTTATGCAAGGCGATGTGGCATGCAAAGAAGTTGCAGAACAGAGTACGCTATCAGATTGCCGCCATTCGTATCTCAAAGGAGGATGTCTCACTCGAAGAGGAAAGGCAATACTGGGCAAACCTCATGTTCTACAGCACAGACGCACCGTCATTTCTGAAGCATGAACGTTGGATCGTTCCTTGTGCAATTCGAGCTGTTGCCTCTCACAATTCTGGAAGAGAGACTGTTCTTGAAGAGGATGTGTCAATATATCCTGTGTGGACCTCACATCTCATTCCAGAGAATGTGGCAATGCAGCTTGGAGGAAGCTTTCACATGACATCGCTTTCCAATATTGAGTCAATCATGAAACTAGGAATTGTCCCTGGTGGAACGGAGGGATATAGAGGTAGTGTTTTCTTCAACCACTTTGCGCCGTGGGATGATCGATCATCAAAGATTCTGAGATCAAGATGGCCAAGAGTGGGAATGCCCGTTTGCCTTTATGTTCCAATCATGACTTTGAGGAAGCTTGGGGGGAGAATTTCGGAGAATTCCTACACTGTTGTTTTTAGAGAAGTTCCATGGAGATGTGTACGAGGTGCTTGGTATTGGGACGACTACGTTCAGGCATGGAGGAGACTCCTGCTGGGAAGCACTGGAGAGCAAGTTGTTCTAGCAGCACGTCATGGACTTTGGGTTGCTCAGAAGCATACCATCCTCGAGAGAGCCGACGAAGTCACGAAGTCAGCCTCGGCGACAGATGACAACGTCCAAAAGCTCGTGTCCCTTATCGATGAAGTACAATTCGATGACAATGGAGAGCTGATCGAGGATTCCATCAGTGAGGAAACTTGGGACGAAATCATCTCCAGAACATGTGAAGGGTATCGCAACGTGGATGGCAATATTTTGTGTCCATCATGTATGCATTTAACTTCTTCATCTTTGTCCGTGTGTCTATCTTGTCAAGGCAGGCTACTCTCGTGTGGTATTCGCAACACTGTCATTTCCGATTCACCCGTTGATCTTGTGAGCGACGATGAAGAGGAAAAGAAGGAAGAGAAGGAGCCTGAAGATGATGATCAAGATATCTTGGACCAGGCCACTATGGACGAGATCAGAAAGGCTTGGGAAGAAGACATCGCTCAAACTGAAGCAGCTGACGACGACGAGGACATGGACAATCTAGATCCTTCCAAACCGTCTGATGGTGCAGAAAACTTCAAGAGTGACAATGTCGAGACCCCATCTTTCAATGAGGACGAGATCGACTACGGTCGTGATTCTGATCTAGAAGATGAAGACGAACGAAACGTGATCATCGAGATCCAGAGGAGCACACAACAATATGAGGGGAAGAAACGTCAAGATGGTGAGCCCGAGGATGAAGACGTCACCGACGACTTACATCCGGAGGCGAATCGACCGACAGATCGTGATGAACCGGGATATTATGCACAGCATCGAGCGACCGAGTTCAATCCCGAAGAAGGAAGAGACAACGAAGATCTCCCCATCTATTGTCGAGTACCGGAACCTCGAATCTATGCGCATCAAGAGAGAGCCTACTGTCAGGACGTCTCCATGAATGCATCGGGTTTGATGGATAGGTATGTGGTCAAATGTGTGCTGAACATGATTTCCCTGATGTACAAGAGCTACTATTGCACCAGCCTTACCGACTTCAAAGCAAATTGGAAAAGGAAGCGACTGGATGTGATAAGCAAGTTCGGTACAGGGGATTCCACTGAAATCGATGACGATGGGAGACCATTGGATCCAACAGATGACATGATGTTAATCTTTGCCAACGACAACAATATTACGACTGAGGAGGCCTGGCACCGATTCAGAGGAGAGCAATTCATTTGCAAGGTGGCACTCGTGATCCTATCATTTGGTCATACTCCGCAATCCTTCAAGAAGGAATATGGCAACTTCGAATACCCCACCAACTTGACTGATGCCCAGCTTGAGGAGTTGAAAGCGAAGAAAGCCAGCGCAATGACTGAATTGGTACAGAAGTGCATCCATGCGATTTATGGGAGTCGGACATATTCTTACTTTAGAACCGACGTTACATCACCCTACCACAAGGTGATCGATCCTCTGGACATCATGTACTCGAGAATGAAGAGCAAGTGGGAGAAGTCTATTCTGTTGATCATTGATCAACATGAGATCAGGTTGCCCCCACAAGCTCAGGAAGTCATAGAGTCAATGGCCAGAAACCCCAACGTTGGACATACAGAGAGATGGATGAGCGTGGTAGAACATAAGCATGTTCAAGCTCTTACCAATCGTCTAGGCTTTGGAGATAGGGCCAAGGAGATTCAGGGCAAGAAGAAGCAGGCAGCCAAGGCAACAGCTAAGTCAACATCAACGACTAAGTCTGAAGCGAAAGCAGCATCTTCGTCAAGAGCTGAGGCAAAGCCAGCATCTACACCCAGAACCGAGGCCAAGCCGTCGTCAGCACCAAGTGAGGAGCCAAAACCTGCAAGAGCACCTAAGAGTCTCGGGCCCTCATCAGCAGAGGAGAACAAGGCGAAGGCTGCTCCAAAAGCCAGACCACATGATAAATCACCATCCAGTGCTACCGATGTGTTTGAGCAAGCTTTGCAGGAAGATCTTGCCGCCAACGCACATGCAGCAGAAGGTACAACTTCTTCATCATCCCGAGGACATTCCAAAGGAGGAGGCCAATCTGGAACATCTTGGAGGCCGGCGCTAACGCAAGAACGTCGCGAAGTACCTCAACCTTTTGAAAAGGGGAAGGGAAAGAGCAAGTCCAAGGGAAAGTCCAAGAAGGGAGAAGATGATCGGCGGGATGCTCAGGGCAGCTGGGATCATCGTGGATGGAGAGGTTATCGCCAGTGGTGATTTCTTTGAACGACTATGAGGATACCATGCAAACCAGGGAGGAAGTCATTCACCGGATGTCTATCTGATCTGAAACGCTGTAAGTGTATCATTGCAAATCATCGGATTGACGATTTGATACCATGAGCATAATGGAAGGCAGACAGTCACCGACTGTCTCTCCGACTTGCCGTTCTGTAAGTGTATCCAAATCAAAACCTACATCTTTTGAGAAGTGTGAAGTCAGTTGCCGATGTGACATCTACGTGGAAGTCACCAGTTCGGATCTACATCAAAGCGATGCTCTTTTGAGTGGATACTGAGCGAGGCCTCGTGACTGTCTCACTTGTTCAATTCGATTTTCATAGGTTCTGAGCCATAGTTGCACACTTTATATGTAAAAGTCCGCTTTAGTCCAGCATGTTTCGTAGTATGAGCCTCATATGAGTCTCGCGGCAAATCATACAATTTCTTTTGTAGCACTTACATCCCTAAATTTTCGTGTGTGATCGGAACATATTGTTGCCGTTCACATGGGGGGTGCGAATGGAAGTGCAGCGACACGTACAGTGCAACTTGTACATATATATGTACCATATGTACTTTGGCTCAAGGATCAAGCGACTAGAAAAGGTGCGGTTTCCGTTCCGACGCTACGCCGCTTATGGACCGTCAGTGATAGCTTCAAACTTCGCTGATTAAGATCCACTCGCAAATTTCAATTCAATCATGAGGTGGAAGGCACCTCGGGAAAATCACGTGGATTGGAACGCAAGCGGCTAGGATGTTTAGCGCCAGGGCAGGTGCTTTGAGGACCTTGCAAGTGAGTAGAACCTTCAGGAACGTGAAAGGCACACGTAGCGCATGGTGTAGCGCAGCATTGACAGGTTTGGGAAGAATGAACGGAAAGCAACATAGGTCCAAGTTTAATCTTGTCCGTCGGAGATCCATTCGTGTAGAGGAGTGGTAACCTCTTGGAAGGTGGTAAGCTCCAGTCGTGGTCAGTCACATGACGAACGCGCGGGGAGGCTGCTTCACTGGGTGCTGAGGACGGTGTGTTGCAAGCACTGGGCCCGGAACGTGTACAAGAAGTCCTGCCAAAGTGCACTTACTTGCAGGAGAGGGAGGCACTTAATTACCGGAAACTGTCTGACCTCTCTCAGTATGTATCGGTACAGTCAGTGAGAGGCCGGGAAGCGGCGCTCGACTGGGACTTGTTGAACTGCCAGGATCAGGGCATCGACTTGGAAGGCCTGAAGCTCTATGCGTCGTGACGCGCCCAGACACGCCCAGACGACTGGAGGCTCTCAGTCTTCCCAGTCGACACGGGCGGACACAGGAGACATTGAAAGGAAAAGATGGATGACACCAGGACCCTCCTGTTGGATCCTGTCGGGGTGTGGCTGAACTACCCCACTAGGCTTCCAGATGCACCCCGACAGGAGGCTCCTGGTAGCGACATGTCACCGGAACCCGCCGTCGAGGCCGCTGTCCATGGGACAAAGCCCAAACGCCGCTTTTCAGTATCTTGACTGCCAAGACCATGCGGACTGGGCGGCGTTGGTTTTCACCACTCCCGACTCGGAACACAGGCAGCGCATGCGCACAAACTTCGCATTGCCTGCGAAGGAACCTTGGTCGTCCAAACAAATTAGTTTTCCTGGAGCCCATCCACTCAGTTCAAAGAAAAGATCCCAGGAGCCATGGTGGCTATGATGAACGCGCTGCATGTGAAGCCATTCCAGAAGGTTTGGAGCCTCAGACAACGCCTCAGTTGCTGTGGAGATTGGCCGGGGTTCATCCCCAACATCCCCAGATGGATAGAGGTGACTTTGTAAGAAACTGGATGTTGTATTTGCTTGTATTTGCCACCTCTCTGGTTATAGTGATTTAGTGATTGAACTACATCCTCAGCTTGGTGGAGATCCACCAACAAGTTGGGTGCGGCGGTGCCCAGTCGATGCATGTGAAACGGATGGAAACGGCACCCAGAAAAGTATTTTGGAGGGTGGTGAATGGATGGATGTGGATAGGAGATGATGTGTGTTTCAAATTTCCTCATGAGCCATGGCAGTCACACAAATGCCAGAAGGGCCACATTGAGGAAAATCAGCAAACCATGTCAAACCTCTACTTTACTTGAGGGAAAAAAACAATCCCGACCAATGGATGTGGGGGTCCCATCACCCTATGGCACCTTCAGCACTGACCACCATGGGCCCCGACCAGCCAGTCATCGGCCGATCCCAGGCCTCGACCTCTTGATCACCCATGGCCCCGCTGGACAGGGAGCCCTGGGCCGTGCCAGCGCAGCACTGGCGGAGACCGGGGGTGACGGATCCGATCCGACCGACTGCTGCGTGGTCCGCACACGTCGAAGGGCGTGTGCTAAGCATATCTTAAGAATCTGGATTCAAGAGGCAAAGAGGCAATGGGTTCGGTTTTGACATGTTGTTCCCATGAGGTGTGCTAAGGGTTCGGTTTTGACATGTTGTGTCCCATAAAATCGCTCAAGAGCCCGGATTTGATGGTCTTTGGGTCGGAGATCGTCCATCTCGGACCGGAATTGGGTGATGCCTCAGATCGCCATGACGGTTTTCAAGGTCGAGATAGCTTTGAAAGCAAGGTGCGACCTTGGCTTTGGCTTCACTTGGCTTCAGATGGTGTAGGAGAGCATCCAAAGCACACCAATTAGATGACTGTTGATTCGCTGCTTCCTGCTGGGCCAGTTCCTTCATGCTGTGTCTCAACAGCCTTTATTTTCCGCCTCACTTCACTTCACCTGTCGTTCTGCCATCTTGGCCCAAGACGAGCCTGGTCCGAACACAGTGACCCGGACCCCGAACGGATGGCGCCGGCCTTCGCCATTTTAGCCTCCAATGACGCCGCCGCCAAGGTGGCCTCGAAGAACTCGTCGGCGGCGGGGGTGCAGCTGTTTCAGAGCCTCGGTGCTTCGAACGATCCACTTGACCGGGTTTCAAGGCGCTGCCATGATGTTGCCATATGTTGCCATATTGTTTTGGCTCTATAGTATACAGACTGGTTTCGAGAGTCCAGTGGTTCCACTTCTTCCCACGGGGTTGACATGATCATAGCCCGCACAGAGAGAGAGAGAGAGAGGGACGAAAAGCACAAACAAACGTGCACACACACACACATGCATTTCCTGAATCTTCGAAGGGTTCCCCGTTGGAACACTCTAAAAAACAGTCGACAAGCTACTTGTTGGATCTCCAGACCGGACACGAACCAAACGACCGAGGATGTTCTCCTCCACGTCCGCCTTATTGGGCTTGAGCCGATCGGCCGACTACAGCGCCAGTAACGCCAATTTGAATTGTCTCATTAACTTCCGCCGTACCAATGGAGTCTTGGCTGAATGAGCATGGGAATGAGCAAGACTTGAGCTATTGGTCATGTTCTGGTGCTTTTTGTTGCCCTAGCAGGCGTTGTTTCCTTTTTGGGAAAGATGTTGGTTTTTCTTTATTTTCATGGCTTCATGGCTGGCCAATCCAAGGCGTCAATGGGCAGAGCAACATGTGGGGCGAAATCGCTGGCACGGGCTTGGCGGGAGGTGGCACCGGTGCAGCTGGCAAGCACGGAGATACCAGTCAGGGTGCCACAGCAGCCTCTGAGGCGGGGCGATGATCTCTCTTGTTTCTAAAGCATGAAGGTTGCAACCCTTGACATTTTGCAGAGGTTGAAGGTGGTATTAATTACGTACGTAGTATCACTAATTATTGACCTCCTCCCCGCCCCACCATCCAGTACGGGTCCAATTGTTTCATATAAAGTCAGTCGAGTCGATGGCGCCACGCCGCTAGCTGCCGGAGGCCTACACTTCGGATGGCTTGCCCCGGAAGCTCCCCAAGACGCCCGAGCCGGACTTTGTTAGCAAGTATCCGCCCTCCTACTACCACCGTGACCCAGCGAGGTCGGATTTTGTGGTGTCCATCCGAGAAGGGAACAGCCCACTGGAGATTCAGCACAAGATCAGCTTCTCCTCCATGGAGAAGGAGGGCTTCATCCCCGTGAGAGGCTTGCAAGTGAGCCTCAAGACCCACGGATGAGTTGAAGTGGAGTGTTTTCCTGCTCTTTGATGGCTGTTTCTGTGCTTTTTTGCAGTTTGTGAGTTTGCGAGATATGATTGTCCGGCGATTCTAGTTGAACCACGATTCATGATGAGCTATTGTATGTGTGTATGTATGTGTGTGTGTTCAATGATATGATTTCATTGAGTGCAGCCAACAAGTTCAATCACGGCAGCTCGCCGGCTCGCAGATTCGCTGTCCAAGATTCGCTGGTAGTATCCGATGTGGTGTCCGATCCAACGGGAGCAAATCTAAGGACCAAGGAGAAGGATGACAAGATCCTGCTTCTTTGCAACCTTCCCACTTCCACACAGGATCTGGATTTCAGCTGGTATACAACATGTGATGAAAACCTTGGGGGTTGCGGGCTCCATCTTTCAGTATAGTCTACACAGACACTCCATGTATGCCATATATGCCTACATTGGGGTGGGTTTGGGGGTGAATGTAGGCACAAATGGCATACATGGAGTGCCTGGGCTAGTATAGGGTATAGGTTGACAGGGGCACATGGAACCGTCAATAGAGAAACATCCTGAAGTCCGCCTCCTGGACCTCATCGATGGTCGTTTCTGGCCATACAGGAGTTGTCCTGCGAGGAGGCCCAAAGTCACACCAGACAACAACCTTTGAGCATACGGTTTATGAGGACGATAGAGTTCAGTGAATCAAGTTTGACATGTGCTAAATCGAGCTTGTCCTTTTTAACACACCAGTGACACACCAGATCTCATTTAAGTTCGAGACCACCTTTGTTTTGGACGCTGACGTGGCTGACGTGTGACTCAAAGCCCCAGCACCCTCGTGTTGGACGGTCCCGGAGGACCAGCACGATGGCGTGTGTTGGGCCTTGAAGCGTGGCGAGCAGACCATCGGCCCAGTCTTCACCACTTGGACGCACGACCTCGCACGCATCGATGGTCTGTGCATGCCATGGCTCCCTGAAGCGGAGGGTGGTGAGCGGGTATGATCATTTTCAGAGGCGGCGGCGATTTCGCCATTTGTGAATGGCATTGAATGTTGTGCAGAAATGCATACGGAACATCAAGGAAACTACAAGAAACTACGTGGATTTACTGGTTTACTGACTTATATTATGCAATTATATAACCGGATTTTATCCTATCATCATTTGTCCATGGGCTTGGGATGAGTCCCGTTTAGTTGAGTCCAGTCAATGAGGTGTTCATTCATTCCCCAGAAACTCGATGGAACTGGAATACCGGCCTGGATTGGAGTGGTTAACCCAGGGTCGGCATATTTCTCGGTCCCGACGTGAAAAAGCTCGCTAGGTCAGCTTTCACCCAGAGCCATGCTGTACACGAGGAATTCACTACATTCATCATACCAGAATTATTCGTCATAGCAAGTCCTAAGTTTTCTCCCAAGTATTCATCGTTCATTTTCTCTTCCTTCTCCCACTGTTGTTGCCTCTCGTAATCCGCATTAAATGAGTGCTTGGATTCAAATTCTCCAGCAACCTTGTGTGCGACGCTCTGGGGTTTCCGGCAACTGAAATGAGTGGGCATCCTGTCCGCAAGTCTTTACATTTACCTATATTCCCCTGAATTTGGGGCAAAAGGGTCCTTGGGAAACAAGAGAGAACCTGGCCGTCACATGGGTAGACTGATGTAGGCTGTGCATTTGTCCCAATGTTCATCATGAATGGACAGCGTATAGGACATTGGCTTTATTGTGGTGGGTAGTACAGCAGAAAAGCACTGGTGTAGTGTTTGTCTCCACACGAGCCAGTTTGAAGACGGTAGTTTTTCTTCTTCCATTGTGCGCGTCATTTCCACGGTTTGGTGGCGTGATCCCCACACCTCCAGTCACTCGTAGGCCATGCATATGAAGTTCATGCCACCGCGGGGCTCAGGTTAGATGACCCTGGCCGTGCTGGCCTCTTGGACACACCAACGCTTGGCTCGCAGGTGTTGGCTCAGACATCATCATTCCCGGAAGTGGTATAAGTCACAAAGGGGTCGTTTTTGGTCTCTAAGTGAGTGGATGTTCTGGGCACCCCTATCCTCCATTAGTCCCCTTTTTTTCACTCCTGGAATCCAAATCGAGTTATTCTAGTTTTGTGTGGCAATGGGAGCAAAGCACTCATGATGAGAGAAACCACGCCGTTCTGTATCGCACAACATCGAGCAACATTTGCGGGTGTGCTTTCTGTTTCTTATGTCCTGCTTTTCTTATGGGTTATATAGGTGATTTTTCACTGACATGTCATAAGGGGGTCACCCCCAGATGAATCTTCTCATTAGATATCCCCTATTCTACCAGGACCTCCCCAAGTCCGGTCGCTTTTGGACACCCCGTTCCTCACCTTTTTACGAGGCTATCTATCGACAAAGGGAGGGTGCTGCAGCGGTGACCTTTTTGATTCGGGATGGGCTTTGGGCTTTTTCTGTGCTTTCTATTCCATCGAGGTTTGGAGTGTGAATACTCCGTTTGCTGCCGCTTGCGCGGCAGCGCTCAGCTCAGCCAGAACGGCGAGCGGCGGCAACTGGCCGCCATCCGCTTGCCCAACGTGCAGGTCGCCAGTGCAGAGAGTTGCGAGGCAGGTGGCGTTGCATGTGTTGAAAGGACGTGACCCTGACAATCTCCAAACTCCACACTGGGGCCTAGCCCGCGGCACTGCCCTGGTGCCACTAAACACGTGCCACCTACTGGTAGTGGCCCAAAGTTGAATGGTAAAAAGGATGGACAACCTATGGGTTGGTTACGTTGGGTTATGTTATGTTGGATTGTGTTGCATGGGTTATTTCATTTTGCCACGATACAGGAGCAAGACTGCAGGACATATCCTGACATCAAATGAGGTGTGGGCTTGACATGAGGGCACCTCAGACCCAGAGCGGTAAGCGGAGGCCGTCACAAGACTGCGCAGCAGATCACATGACCAAAACCGCCCCGAGGGTTTGGTGAAACATGGACTCCAGAAAAGATAGACACATAACACCTGGGGCAACAAACAGACAAAGAGAGAGAGAGAGAGAGAGAGACAGAGAGAGAGAGAGAGAGAGAGAGAACGGCCTGTGTGGGCACCAGGCAGGACACAGTGCCTACGTCCTTCGTTCACACGCAACAAAAAAAGGAAGCACTGGCACTTGAATGGATCCTGGGATGGGCAAGCGAATGCCTTCATGTTCTTTGAGTTTCTTTGCCGCCCCTGAGTAGGGGGGCTTCACGGCTACTCTACTTGTCTTGGATTCTTCCCACCCATA